GTGCAGCACTTAAGTACTTTGGAAAATGTGACAAATGTGTCAATTTTCTGTATGACTAAATATATTTTTCATTGTTTTATAATCATATTATCTCGCTTGAATTTTGCTGACTGGTTAAAAGATCCCGACTGCAATTTATCTGCTGCCTTTTGTTTGTCTGCAGTTTGATAGTTATTTTAATTATAAACGTATCCTGTTACCTGTCTGTATTTTCACGCATGAATTTCATTCTTGTAAAAGAGTCCAACGTTATTTAACTCATAGAAAATGTGGCCGATCACAATGTTAGTTTTACAAGTTTTATCATTTTTTGTTTTCAAGCTTCAATTTGAAGGCTAATATAAAGAGACATTACCTTGTGTACTTTTAGCGAGTAAAGCTGTGTGCAATGTACTTGATCTTGTTCATTCAAACGTTGTGCCTTTGTATTGATATTATTTGTAGCTGAGTTCTTGAATTTGTATATTTTAGCTTTAAACCACACTTCACCACACACAGCATATGATAGTTATTACAATAACAATATTACAATACACCTCTTGTAAACAGGGACACATTTGCGCTGATTGGCATCCGTGCCTTTATGTCAACTGTTCGTGAAAATAATAGCGAATAAAGTAACTGGTTAACTTACTATAATCGATGTTATTATACTGTCGTCAAATTTGACGTAGAAGTAAGTACATAGTTACATATAGTTACTTTTAAATGAGATCTGATCCAAAAACGTAAAGTTAAATTAATCTGCGCCAAAAAAAACATAAAATAAATCTGGTCATTCTTTAGCATCTGAAACATTGTTCGGTAAACTCACCATAGAAGCATCCTCAATTCATCTCTGATTAATATAGGGCATATAATTACTTGATAAGATATCTGCTCCAAAACTGGGACGCCAACACTGACGCCGAGGTTATTACATCAGCTCCCTAAACTTTGTTGGGGTGAACTTAAAATAATTATAATCTCTTAAACACCTCTTAAGCATCATCAGTAGCCCTGATACCTAATAACAGTTCAGCAAACTCTGTTGATATGAAATACCGTGGAATCATTTTTGTTCATAGAGTACCAAAGTTAGAGAGTTTCATGTTAACCCATGAATTTACATCCCAACGTGTTTATTCTGTAAACAGTGATTTACACATGACTAACACACGAATTTACGTCCCCACAAACAAGTTTCATTTTGCTTGCCCATTGAACATTGATCCCAACGAGTTAAAATTATGCCAGAGTAACTGAAGGTAGTCTCTAATAGACTTCAATAGCACCATTAATAGCAATGGTACTTAACAACAGCTCAGCAAGGTTTCTGATAATAAACAAAAGGTCCAAGGGTTACAATGCTAATCTGGGTCACTATTGCCCTTTTGTTCTTAATAAAAGATTTCCCTTATATATATTATGTTTTATATGCCTATGCAAATTTGAGGTCAATTTCTTTGGAATCAGTGGTGTCCAGATTATACAAGTTTAATTGTATTCTTTAGTAAAACTTCTATCACTTATTGTGGTCTCACCAGAACAGAGGAGGTCATGATTTGAATAGACTTCTATCTACTACACTACCTGAGGATGCTTCCACAAAATTATTTTATATCTTTGCTGTTCTTAGGGAAAGGACAAGATATCAATAGAAACCTGTTGTTACCCCTGCCAAAATATGACTATTGATTTTAGGTTTATTTCATTTTTATTTTCATTTTGATCAACTTTTATCAAATTTACAGACATGCAATCTTTTGCTCAAGTTTCCTGAAGTGAAAATATCTCAATTTGACGAATTTCCACCAGAACTGAGAAAATTCTGGAACATTTTCTACTTCTGCACTCTCTTGTAGCCTTCGTGAAAGTGTTGAATCAAAATTAGTGCTGGTTTTAAGACACACATCGTTCACAGTAGTTCAATAGGTAGATCGAGCGCTCGCTCCGTGATAAGGAGGTCGTGAGTTCGAATCTCGGCTGCGACTGACACAAGTCGATAAAAATGCGTAGCAACTGTTCCTTCGTCATGCGCTCGGAACTTTGAAGTGAAAGTTGTGGTAGCTTCAGATGAGACCTAAAAAACCTAGGCCCGTGTCACGGCAGGCGTTGGAACGATTAAGATCCCCCACTGCTCAAAGGCCTAAGTACCGAGTAAAAGTCAAAATTTGAAACCCTTCACTGGTATATGGTGACGTCTCTATATTAGTAAAAATTCTTAAATGGGAAGTAAAACAACATACAATCAATCAATCAATCATTAATCATGGTTTTAAAACAAACATCATTTTTAATTTTTAAATACAAACTATTACAATATCAATTGTGTGATTTTTTACATCAAATAAGGGGCCAGATCCGGCTGTTACCATACCAAGTCCTTTAAAAATGTTCTGTATATCCCCCTGTCATAAAACTTAAATAGTCCATGATTGCCCCAAAAGTCATGTTTTAAACAAAATTGAATCTATAATATATCAGGAAGATTTTATATAAGTTTCGTTCTTTCTAGCCCATTGATTCTTGGTAAGAGTTTTAAATGACTCTACCAAATTTTCAAAATTTCAGAATGATCTCCCGTTGGAAGAGAGTAGAATTCTTCTCATAAAAGCTTGCATCCTCCTTACCAAGGATACTTTGTGCCAAGTTTGGTTGAAATTGGTTCAGTGATTCTAGAGAAAATGAAATTGAGAAAAGTTTAAGAGGGAGATGATAGCAATGGCAAACAACTTACAAATTTCTTTCAGAGAAGCTCACTTAAGCATTTAGCGCAGATTAGTTGATAAGATGCTAAAAAACTTCTTACATTTTGCTCCTTCAATTTTGACTCTCTAATTTGGCTCTAGCCTTTGGGTCCATAATTTCAATTAAACACAATTCAAAATTTGGTATTCTTGTTTACTCAGGCCTAAACTAACATTACTAGCTGATTGTTAAAGAAAAGGGTGTCTAAAAAACCTCAAGGTCCTCTTTATAAAGGAGGTGTTACGTTTCAGATTATAACACTTGTTCTTCAGGTTCAATATCCTCTCCGACAATGTTTTCAAACAGTAATGCACTTTAATTTTTTTTTTTAAATATCTCTGTATTTGTTACACATCACTTTGATTCTTTGGTGTGCTAATAGGAAACTTATTCATGTGAAAAATGGAGTAATTATAACCCCTTTATGAAGTTTGGAAACATATTCTTTTTATTCTGTTTTTCTGCATTGAATTAAAGTAGAAAAATGTTATAATTATTAAATTCACATGACATTACCTATTAAAGAACAATTGCTTTTAAAATATTTAAACCTCCTTCCAGACCAGGAAGTATAAACACCTAAACGGTAGAAAACACAGGTAAGTGGGTCACCTGATCAGGGTGCATACCACAGATTGATAGACAGGAGTGCCGCCATTACCTAAGTCAGGTAATACTGAAGTATTTTGTAAATTTTAAAACCATTCTATTTCCATAAAAATTAATCCTTGTAAACTTTAACCTGAGAACAAAATTTCTTTGACAAAGGTTCAGTGAGTGTTTTACATGTATAATGCTTTGTTCATCTTTCAGTGTATATCACAAAAAACCTGTTTGTTTAATGGTCTAAGGACAGTTTTAAGGCGGTAAGGGGCCTGTAATAGGCCCTATTCCCGATGGTAAAAAGTGTGTGATTTTCCCAATTTCATCAAGGAAAATCCCCCCCCCAAAAAAAAAATCAAAACGTAACATTAATGTCAAATGATTCTAAACATAATACAAAATTTAGAAAGAACAGCAAATTCAGCTATTACAAGTAAAGCTGATTTTCAATAAAGATTTATTGAATGTAAATAAGGCAATAAATGCCCTGAAAATAAAAACATTTGTCTAGAAAATTGTGAATCATGATAACCCCCCCCCCCATTTTCCTAGGCCTTCGATTGTAAGACCTAAAAAACACTGCATGTACATGTATATACAGGGCTCAACATTTGTCCTGTTATTCGTGTTTCGTGTCCAGTGTATTTTGTGATCCGACACATGCTTAGTTACTTTTGAATACTAATACTACCTTAGAGAATACACATTAAAAACACTGATTCTTTTTTTCAATCGCTTCCAAACATCAAGTAAAAAATGATAACAATATTTAAGGCGGAGTCAAACCTCATCTGATATCATTAATAAATGTGAGTCATACATGTAGAAACTAGGTGACACCGTATTAATGTATTTCATATCAGAAATGTTTTAAATTTATGTAATTTAACAAATCTATTATTGTTCTTAAAGATAAAGTAGATATCATTTTTTTATACATGTATATGTACAGAATTAGACAAGAAAAATTGTTAATACTGTTAAAGCCTATGAATGACAAATGTGGTTTTAGATCATGTTCATCACTGATACAATGTGGTTCTCTGTTGTGAAAAAAACTTTTGTTGCCCTAAAATCTAGTCAATAAACGTATAATTATTTATTTTTTTACATATCAGTCAAATAATCTGCAGATGGACCTCCGTACCACTGCCCAGGACGTGATGCGATGTGACCTGTGTGAGACCGTTATGGTACAGATGCACTGTGATACATGTATTGTCAAACTGTGTATAGCTTGCGTAGGGAAACATATGATATCTGATGAATCCAAGGACCACAAAGTCGTCAAATTTCAGGCCAGGAATTCCACACCCCTCTACCCTGGATGTACAACTCATAACAAAGAACAATGCATCATGTACTGTAAACAATGTGACATTCCCGTCTGCATCAGCTGCATTGATTCTAATCAACATTTAGGTCACGAAGTATCTAAAATCTTGCGAGTTCTGGATGAAAAGAAGGACATTTTTATAAAAGAAAGAAATGAATTAAATGATACAATTTATCCAACCTACCAGGACATTGCCTCTGATGTACAAAATAGAATGAGTCAGCTAGAAAAGGAATATGGAGATCTCTCAACAGCCATAACAAAACATGGAGAGGACTGGCAAAAAGAAATTGACAAACTTGTCAAGAAACTTAAAGCTGAAGTTGTTGAAATGAAAAACACACAGTTACAAAGTCTACAGAAACATCTGGATGAAATAAACGAGAACATTTCTGACATCAAGGATGAAATCAATTCAATTGAAATGGTTATAGACACTAATGACGTGTCAAAACTATTTAGTGTAACATCCCATGTACATATATACAGAAATCTTCCACAAAAAATGGTGCTATCCCTACCCAAATTTATTTCAGGACAAAAACATGGAGAAAAACTACAAAAAATGTTTGGAGCCTTATCATCAAGTTCTTTAACTTCAGATAAACATGGCTACAGCATGAAGACGACACAGAAATCATTAGAAGCTGGATCCTCTCCTCCAGTCAAACAAATGCTTGCTGAACCAGAGACTGTCACCACCATACACACTGGGTATAGCCATATCCTTTACAATGTCTCCTGTCTGAGTGACAAAGAAATCTGGACAAGTGGAGATGACAAAACAATGAAACTCTACAGCATAAATCAGGGATCACTTCTCAAGTCAATCACAACCAAGTCAAGGAACATACCAGATGACATAGCTGTGACTAAAAATGGAGATCTAGTTTATACTGATTACAGTGATAGAACTGTAAACATTGTGAAAAATGAGAAGATAGAGGAGGTGATCAGACTACAGAATTGGTTACCTTTGGGTGTCTGTAGTACTTTCTGTGGTGACCTCTTAATTATCATGGACAGTTACGATAACAAACCAACAAAAGTTGTCCGTTACTCTGGCTCAACAGAGAAACAAACCATTCAGTTTGATGATAAAGGTCAACCTCTCTATTTAATTGGTGTTTATAACAGATACATAACTGAGAACAGGAACCTGGATATCTGTGTGTCTGATGATAGAGCTAAAGCAGTAGTGGTGGTCAATCAGGCCGGGAAATTGAGATTCAGGTACACTGGACATACTCCTGCTCAAAAGAACCAACAATTCAATCCAGTAGGAATCACCACAGACAGTCAAAGTCACATCCTTACCGCTGATTATAGGAATGACTGTGTCCACATCATAGACCAGGATGGACAATTCCTCTGTTACATAGAATGTGGACTGAGTAAACCCTGGGGACTGTGTACAGATACAAATGACAATCTGTTTGCTGCTCAAGTGAGGAACAGACAATTGAAGAAAACCAAATATTTGCAGTAAAAAGATTCAAAATGTTGTATTCTATATCATTTAAAAATATAAAAATAAAAGTATATACAGTATTACTGATATATTGGTATGCCACTTTATGGAAACTTGCAATAAATTTGAAATCATTTTAAGTAACTGTAAACATTACATAAATCGTACATGTTTATTCTACCACTTTGTATAGAATTCTACCATTTTTTTTACTCATTTCCTCCTGCTTTTATTTGATAAAATGCCCATTTTCTATGAAATCCAGTTTTTGTTACATAACATTATTTACAATGATTAATTATCTTAGATGTATAGCAAAGGGGAATAACTTCTCTCAGTGGAGTATAAATTCCACAAGAGAACAAAGCTCTGTCCAGCGCTAGATCGTTTGAGCCAGATTTTCACAAATCTGGTAAAAAAAAAAAAAAAAAAAAAACTCTTGTTATGACTATTTTGTACCATGTTTGCCTTTCAGGTGTTGAAGAAAAAGAAATTTTCAAATTATTATGTATTTTCAATGTAGGATTGACTATTTGAATTCTCAAATGAATTATTAACAAAGGCATTTAATTTATATAAAGATGAGGAATTTTGTAAAGGGAGACATTACAAAATTCCAGTTCTTACAATGCTTTCTAAAAAGTGTGCAATTCATTGTTTAGATTCAACTCCCGATGAACAAAATAAAATATATAGTCAATGCTTATAATTCAATTTTAGTGGAAAAACGTGTTACTTTTCTTGTACATATCAATCATTCAGTTAACTTTAAAAAAGTGTATAGAACTTACATGCCTACAGCTGCATAGAAATATATTGATTCGAAAACGAATCTCAGGAATGTATCAAAATGCTTGTAGTTCAAGAGGTGGGGCCATCTTTAAAAAAAAGTGTGCTTGCCCTCTCGATCCCGACTTGGATAAAATATAGTTGGATAGGTAGATTTTTACAAGGTGAGAAATGAATTAAAAAATATTTGTTTCTTGGAGGTTAAAAAAGTTTTAAGTCCGCTTGTTTTAGCCAGTCGGTCGGGAAAGGGCAACCAAACAATTTTTTAAAGATGTCCTGGGTTTAATTTTCTTTTATACGTTATAAAAAATAAAGAATTCCCCGTTTTGATATTGTGTCAGAGATCAAAATTAACATAAAATACTGGCTAAATGTGAATTATTTACAGGAACTTTTGCATGCAAAAACAAGAAGAAAAAAAAACAGTCATTTCCAATTTTTTTTCAGTTTAACTTAGGGATGTGCAATAAGCATCGCCTCATGCCCGAGAGTGCCATTTTTTGGGGTCAAGCTAGTAATTATTTTGATAGAGGTAGCCCCTCTGGCAAGTTAAAGTAAAAATATCCTTCAGTGTAATACATGACAATTACTGCAGGTATTTTCATTCTTCTTTTTTTTTGGAGGGGGGGGGGGTATCAATTCCTAAACAATCAAAAGAATTCCAGGTAACATGCTCCTTTAGTTCGCAATTCTTAATAATCTTATCCAATAGCAGTACTACCTGACTTATTTACTTTAAAAAAATATCTTTTTTTCTAATCAAAATTTCATCCATTCCTTTGTTTATGGTAATAAATACATGTAGATATCCCATTCAATTATTTACGGTCTCACTCAATTGATTACAGGAAAAGTGTTAAGTGGCTTAAAAAAAATAATTTCCCGGGTAAATTATGAATCAAGATAATAAAAAAATTCCTTCAATTTAGACGAACTAGTACAATGACTGGAAAAAGGGTAGTATGCTTTGTATATTCGACCCATATTGGGACCTAATTTTCTAACCTTTAGTATCAATAGTGTATAAAATACTATGATTTTATTTCAAAGCATTTCAAAGTTGAAAAGGATTTATTAAGAGAAATTTTCAACAACAAAAAAATATATTACCTAAGCAATCATTTATCTTTAAAGATTGCATTGATTTCTATGGAAATCAACAAATACATAGAATATCAATAAAATGCTATGGTGGAAAGATGTATTTGATCATACGGAATAGAAAAACGATTAAATATTATTTTTTCACCAGATAAATTTTTAGAATTGATTTCTAGCTCACCTGAGCACATTTTGTCTGTAGCCCGTCTGTCTGTCCACATTTTCGACTTCTTCCTCAGAACCACTGAGTCAATTTCAGCCGAACGTGGCACAGAGTATCCTTGAGTAAAGCATTTAATTAAGTTTCTTCAAATGAAGAACCACGCCTTTTCTCAGAAACAGCAAAGTCATGATTGGTCATATTCATATGTAGGCATCCTCAGATAGTGTATATTCAAGTTTGTTTAAATCAAGAACCCTGGGGGTAGGGTTGGGCCACAATGGACGATCAAAGTTTTACATAGAATAAAAATTATGAAATATCTTTAAAAATCTTCTTCTCAGTAACAACAAAGCCAAGATTGATCATATTTCAACCGGGTTAGGGTGAGGCCACAATGAGGGATCAAAGTCTTTCATAGGAATACATGTATATAGGAAAATATGTTCTTCTCAAGAACAGCAAAGCCATGATTAGTCATTTTAATACGGAAACATCATAAGTTAGTGTAGATTCACGATGGTTAAAATGATGACCCCCGGGGCTAGGACGGGGCCATAATGGGCGATCGAAAATTTCAAATAGGAAGATTTAACCTTCTTCTCTAGAACATAAAATCTTATTTAGTCACTCTGATATGGAAGCATCCTCAGGTAGTGTAGATTCAGTTTTTTTTTTCAAATGATGACCACCGGGACTAGGGTAGTGCCATATTGGAGGATCAAAAGTTATACATAGTAACATACAGAAAAAATTATTTCTTTCCATTACCGGAAGTTGCTTTTTAGCCCTCTTAACAGAATTCTAAATTTTGCATTTTTAATAAAATTTTAACAATATTTTGGGTTTTCAAGGTTTTGAAGCTGTTAATCATAAGTACTGTACTAAAATGCCGGGGGAAAATCCTTCTTTCTTTACCGGATGTGATGCCTATATTTCCTCAAAATGACTGATAGCAAGAAGGGGGGGATATTTTAAGAGGTATGTGTTACCTTCTAAAGTTTAATGATAACATTAAAAATGAATATATTTAGGTAAAAAGTAAATTTACAAAACATTAATGCTCCATTTAAACATTAAATGTTATTTTTAGATCTTAGAAAGAAATAAATACCCGGAAAATCTTAAGCATCCCCCCTTCCGACCATTTAATTAAAACATGCTAGTCCGCCATATACAACAAATGCAGCCCGATTTCTACCATGCATTAGGTTTATAAATATCTCAATCTGAGCGAAATTAATATTCTTGGGCATTTTTAAATGCATGTATTCAGATACTACGGTCGAATTTTCTCTAACATGGCGTAGTGTAGCAACTTTTGGACTTCCGGTCAAGAAACTGTCATTTATGCTATTGAAACACAAGAGCCTGATGAGTCGTTATATAGTGTACATGTGCATCTGCAGCTCTTTTTTTCTTTCTTTTTTTTTTTGAGAATTTCCAGCATAAGCAATAAAAATCAATCATTTTGAGGAAATATAGACATCACATCCGGTAAAGAAAGAAGGATTTTTTCTTGGACTTTTAGTACAATACTTATGATTAACAGCTACAAAACCTTGAAAACCCAAAATATTGTAAAGATTTTATTAAAAATGCAAACTTTTAAATTCTGTTAAGAGGGCTAAAAAGCAACTTCCGGTTGAAAGAAATTCATTCAACCGTAAAAGAACTGATTTGGCAAAGTAAAAGATGTCCAACTTTTTTGGTATATAGTTATAAACTGTATATAATTTTCACCCTAAAATTAGGGTATTGCGTTCTATTGACGGTGAGTATACATTTATTTCAGCAGGGCAAGAGTGTTTGAAAGGTTTTTCTCACGCTAGAATACCTTTTTCATGCAGTTGTCTAAAGGGGTTTATATATCTATTGCCCTCTATAATCTCTAATAATTTAATTCTAGACTTTGTATTGTTTACATGTTTAGATTTGTATTTGTTTAATTTTTGATTCAACATTAAATTAAATTCTCTGTTCCATACAACGTTACTACAATTCATGCCCTCTATATATGTTTCAATGTTTTCAAAGAAAAATCTAGAGAACCATTATTTGGACCATACACAGTACATTTTACAACTTCATGTCCCTGGATACAAGCTATTACAATATGACAATTTCCATCTTTATCACCCTTTTCTGCTATGAACGTGAAATCAAAGTTGTTATTTACAAGGAATGCATGACCTCTGATGTTGCTCAATGGATAAAGAGACATACATGGCGGAGGCTCAAAGACAACTCTCAGACGAACGTTTCTATAAGAAACTGGACTCTGACCCTACTAAAGAATTCTCAACCGCCATTACCAAAACTCTTGACGATATATTTGAGAAAAATTAGATTGGTATCAACGTCTATGAGACCTTAAATCCTATTGACTGTAGACCAGGACAATTCTATCTGCTTCCTAAAATACACAAATAAGGCATGCCAGGTCGCCCCATAGTCAGCGTAATTGGACACCCAACGGAGAAAATTTCTGAATTCATTGATTTACATCTCCGTCCACACGTAGAAAGTTTGCCATCTTATCTTAAGGACACTACGGACTACATAAACAAGACGCCCTCTACTGGCCTCCCAGATCATACCCTCCTCGTGACTATGGACGTCACATCTTTGTACACCAATATTCCGCACGATGAGGGTATCGAAGCCTGTAGAGAAGTCTGGGATAGTAGATCCATACAAGTTCCTTCTACCGAGTCCCTTGCTAAGCTCCTTGAACATGTTCTCAAGTTCAACAACTTCATGTTTAATGGAGAACATTGCCTGCAAGTTAATGGCACTGCTATGGGTACGAAAATGGCACCGTCTTATGCCAATGTCTTCATGGGCAGACTGGAACGCAACTTGTTACTTCAAGCACCATTTAGGACTCATAGATGGTTGCGTTTCATTGACGATATAGAGATGAAATGGGTGGATTGTCGCGAGAACCTCGAGGCATTCATTACGT